CATCTTGGCCTTTCCCAGACGATAAGATTAAAGGATGTGGCATGCTGTCCTCCTGATCAGTTTCAAATGCTCTCAAGTTTGTAAAGATTTAGAGATTAGAATGACTAGGCTTAGTGTGCAGAAGATACGCACACACTGAGCAGTGGCCCAGATCACTGAGGCTGTTTAACCCCTTCTTGTACACTGCTCCTGTGCATCATACATCACATTCACAGCAACATGGTCAAGGGGAGAAAGGTTCTACAACCCTCTGAGAAGGAAGGAACTAATCTTTTCACTTGTGCCTGTGTTCTCACCTCCTATCAAAACAAGGTAATTCTTTTTGTTTGGTTGATTTTTTTGTTTTTGTTTTTAGTGGAAGGGTCTCATGCAGCCTAGGCTTGGTTTGAACTTGCTATGAAGCTGAGGATGACCTTGAACTTCTAATCATCCAATCATCCAGCTTCTACCTCTCAAGTGCTGGGATCACAGACACATACTACGTATGCCCATTCAGGGTTCCTCCCTGGATTGTCATCTGGCCAGGGTGACTAAATGGAGCTTTTATGTTTGTTTGTTTGTTTTAGGAATACTAACCACTCTGTCAACATCTACAACATTCATCATACATATCTTTCAATAAGCTAGCACCTCATTTAACTTAAATGTAAATAATCTATTGTGCCCATGTTTACTATCTTAATAGAAAAAAAACAAAGATTTGTTCTATGCTATGTATTTATTTGCATGCCCATTAATAAAGGTATATATTTATGGTCATTCATTTTGTTTTGCACAAAAGTGATCCCAGAACCTATTTCCCACATAGATGAACATAGGGCAAGGGAAAACACAGGGGATTTGAACCCTGATTATGCCTGTGAAGAAGTCTGAGCCTGAGTGGTTGGTGGACTGTAAGAACCAGTGTGTATTTGGCCCAGGGCCCATGAGCAGCCAATGACCTCAGCCCAGACTAAAGATAACCACCGTGGGAGAAAGATCTACTTGGCTTTCCTTACATTTGGCCCCAGCATTTGAAAACCAGAAGGATACCCCACCTTCCCAAGCCTGCTGCATACAAACAGAAAGCAAACTCAAGAAACAGTAGCTCCTTTTTCTGCTTCTCTTCTTCCTTCATCAGCATGGTGGGAAAGTATGTCATGGAGGCATACTTTTACCAAGCCTTTGAACAACAGTCCCAAGGACACCCCCATAAAAATCATTACATGTAAATCAAGTTTGATACTATCTTCTCTTTCCCTCCCCTACCACCAAAGCACATTTATAAAGAGTACATTGTGAAGTAAATAGAAAGACTGCATGTGTGCACACATGTGTAACTTATATGTATAATATGTATAAGATATAGTGTTCTAAAATCTTTTTTTGTTTCATTTAGAAATACATTCTAAGCATTCTTCCCTGTCCTATGCAAAACAAAACAAAACAAAAAGCCAAAGTAGGTTAAGGAGAAGCAACTTTTTTTTTTTTTGTCTTTCCACACTTCAGAATTTCCTGAATGGCAGTAAATTCACAAGGCATATTAGTTGTTCCTTAATTGTGCATCAAGAAGTCCCATTAAGACATCACAGTTTCACCCTATGGCTGACATGCAGCTTTGGGCATTTCAATCATCTCTTCTGTACCCAGAACTGCAGTTTACAATTGTTCTACTCTAGCCTCATGGTTGGCTGGAAGGGTTGACCTTGGATTTTCAGCCCATGAAGTTCCATTTAATACAGTCTCTAGATGTAGGAAGTTTCTGAAACATGATCTCTCATGCTCCTCAGAGAACATACTGGCAAAGTATACAAATGCGCACCCACACCCACCTATCTCCCCACCACATACACACACTCACACCCACACACACATGAGACCCACCTTCTACTTAAGTCCAAGTTGTCATAGAGTAGGGTCAGCTTGACATACCTATGGATCTAGTTAGGCAACACACAGGCCTGAAAGAGGACTTTAGCCAGAAACCAAGAGAAGAAACCAGGTGGCTTGAAAGAACAGACTATTTCAACAACAGAGAATGGGTTTGTCGTGTATGAGTTGTTGCCCAGAGTAACAGTTGGAAAGACAAGTATTCTCATCTGTCCTCTTGGAAAACACCATGGCCTATCAGACAGTCTCATGCATGGAAAGATATTTTCTCCCCAGGTCACTTGACAAGATGGAAATGGAGATGCTTTATCTACTTCTCCTGGCATAAGGATGGCTGAGTTCATTGCTATAGAGCCTTGGTGATGACTCGGTGGATGGGCTCTCCACAGCTGCCTTTGTTCATACTGCCAAACAACCCAGGAGCGAGGCCACATTAACAAATTGCAAATAGAAAGAATATTTTTAATCTCTCCTGTGAAGCAACTAGGTGACTTCAGTACATGAATCTACTGCTCAGGATATCAGTAATTAAAGCATATGAAATGAAAACATTCTAGAAACTGCTTGACCAGCTTCCTTTTGTCTCTAGAGTTGATAGACCTATCTTTAAAGAGAGGAGCATAGTATATCTAGCTTATAATGTGGTCACTTTAGATACTTGAAATTCATTAGTTACTTAGTATGACTAAGGAAATAATATTTAGTATCATTGAAGTGTAATGAACTTAAATTCATTAACTTAAATGGGCACATACCAAGTGGCTTCTTACTAGAATAGTTCTATTTAAGTGTCAGTGTTCAGTTGTAATCTATTCTTTTCTTACTGGCTCCAGACTGCCATTTATGAGGCAGTACTTACTCCTAAGTGGTCATCTGGATTGATTCTTCAAGGTAAAGCTGAAAGGGAAAAGGTGACTATACAATTTAAAAAAAGAAAACATTTAAAGCTTCTACAGGCAGAGAGGGGTAGTTGTCTAAAAATGGATATAATCAAGTCATGGGTAGATCTTAAATGAAATGAATACAAAATGACCTCTAGACTCTGCCAAGGAAAGGGGAAGTTAGTTATAATTGTAGTCTTCCCAGCAGGTTTACTTTAAGTCAAGGTTAAATCATCTAGAATCTCTTTTAAGTATTCCTATGAAATTACTCAAATGCAGCTGTGCCATCACTTTGCAATAGCATGTCCATTACTGAGAATACAGCTGGACTGCTCAGAGCCATACTCCAGTCTCCTATATGCCCTTCCTTTGTGGTGTGAAAGAAACTGTGATTATGACCAAGTAGCTGACAGCACCAACTTTCCATTTCCTGCCAGTGAAACACCCAACCCAAATATCTTTCCACCATCTCATTGTATAACTGCCATCTCTGGTAGCACTGAAAAAAAAAAAAGAGAAGACGAACCCTGAGGCTTCCATATTGAGCCCCCAAATGGCCATTTAATGCAGTGACTAACATTAAGGGAAATTGTTGAAATAATGAGTTCCCTTCTCTGGGAGACAGAAGCTACAGGGTTATAAACCATCACCCTTAAAAGAGACCCACAATGGCTCAGTGCTACTCCACAGATGAGGAAACAGCCCAACACACTAACTGCAGAGTGAAGAGGGCTAAAAAGGAGGAAACAAATACCACTCCATGAGTCTCTTCTTTGTTGAAGGCTGAGATTCCCCCCCCCCTTTCATTATCTTGCTCAGCCATTAAGCAAAATCCAGCATTCCTTACCATGCACTATTCAAAAATCTATCACCCCAGAGTGTTACTGATCATTTCAGGGCTTCCTGCAGATTCTGGAGGAGAGATGGAGGTGAGTAGCCTCATCACACACTACATTTTGAACTGTCTAATATGTTTTCAGTGTCTTCTTTAGCCAAACCAGTGGGAAAGTTAGAGAGGACCTCAATCCACTTCAGAAGAGCATAGAAATCACTCTATTTCCTATATCTGGCTTTCTAGCCCTCCCTTCCAACTTTCTAGATTTTCCCTTTCTTATATACATCAACTGGAACATACTTTTCAAAACTCTTATATCTTACATTCCATCAGGGAAGTTTTTCTCAACCTGTGGGTTTTTAGCCTTTGGGCAAGGTGTCATGTCACATATCCTGTATAGAAAATACATTATAATACATAACAGTAGCAAAATTACACTTATGAAATAGCAACAAAATATAGTTTGCGGTCACTACGACATGAAAAACTGTTGGGGTGATCTTTTATGCACTGTGTAAACACTGTCTTTGAATTATCCAAATGCTTATTTCTGTACTGGCAGAGATCTGATTACAGACCAGACTTTGGTATTATTATTCTTATAGCTGCATCATATTTTGTAAACACTCCCCCCAACACCTTCTGATTGATTTAATAAAGAGCTGAATGGCCAATAGCTGAGTCAGGAGAGGAAAGGTGGGACTTCTGGCAGGAATAGGAACTCTGGGGAAGGAAACTGAGAGGGAAGGAGTCACCAGCCAAACACAAGGAAAGAAACAAGTGCTGGGACTAAGACTGAAAGAGGGTACTGGGCCACATGGCAAGATGTAGGCCAGGCCAGTATAGTCAGGTTAGAATAGCTGAGAATCCACCCAGCTAAGCCAATATTTAAATAAGTCTCTGTGTCATTATTTGGGAGCTGGCACTCCAAAGAACTACCTTAAGGAGTTGTATTAAAGGGTTGCAGCATTCGAAAGGTATTAGGGTGAAAAATGCTTACCCAGGCCTGCATACATGATAGGAGGACCACCTACCTCCCAGACTTCGCCTATGACCACACACGCTTCGCCGCACAGTTGGGGTGGAAAGCTCCCCGGAGAATTCGCCATCACATCCCGCTCAGTCTTACAGCAGGTCTTTGAATACCCACATCCTCTGTTAGAAACATTCTTAAAGCCTGCGTTTTGCATGACTTGCCCTCCCAATAGAGAAAGGGGGCTTCTCAAAAAACCCCAAGACAGAACCATTGGGCGGGGCAAGATGGCAGTGCCGGGAGGACTCTCATTCTGAGGAGCAGCACAGCAGGATTGGCACAGTGACCAGCAATCAGAACTCGCGGCCATAAAACACAAGTGGTTGTGTTTCTCAGGTGAGAGGATACCCCACGGTGGGGGATTCGATCAGCTTTAACTCACCCGGCAAAACCGCGGAAGAGATCCCCATTCCGCCAGGCGCTTGGTCGCCAGCCCAGAGCTACCCGCCAGCGCGATCTGGTCACGGTCCCAGACTGAACTGTGGGCCCACAACACCATAGACTGGATCTCCCAGTCGAGAGATAACCCCACAGAGCAGGAAACAATTGGGACCGACCCCAGGTTACCCAGACATCCCCTGGAAAAGACTCGGGTTCCGCGGGTGCCCCAGGAGCCAGCCCGGACCCAGAGCCGGGAGGGACAAAGGCGCCTGCCTGCACAGAGCCCCGCCTGCGCGCGTGATTCGCCGCCTCAGATAGAACTGTGGGCACCAGGGCAACAGGGCACCAGACTGCGTGTCTCTGGCAGGAGGAAACCCCCAGCGGAGGGGGTCAGCAGCTCTAACGCTTAGGACACCCAGCACCAAAACACTTCCTGGACTCACGCAGACTCTAGTGCAGGCAGAAGCGCTGTGCTCTGCCGCCATTGTTGCGTTCCCCTGGGGCACTGGGACACACAGCTGCAACCTCGGACCTGCAGGAGTTGAAGAGCTATTACAGCAGCCCTCAGATACTGTGCCAGGGATCGGCCAGTTGTCCCTGGCTGGACTGCCAAAACTGTAGGAATCCCTGATCCTTCAGGGGGGCTGCACCCACAGCGTCTGGACCAGAGCAGTGCCTGTAGCCGCCATCCCAGACAGAGACACACAGCTTCTGGTCCAGAGTGAGGCACCCAGCCTCCAGACCAGAACAGTGCCCCCAGGTGCCAACTCAACCTAGGTGCACATTCTCCAGGTCCAGAGCAGAGCAATCAGCCTTTGGCCCAGAGAGTTGCTGAGTGCACCTCCCACTTTCTCAGACAGAACTGTGCGCCCCAGGATAACAGACTGAGTTTCCCTGTTGGGAGAAAACCCCATAGCTAGGGAATCAGCAGTTTCTTCAAGAGGACTGTACATGGAAATTTAGTGAGCAGCAGCACACTAAATTTATAACAAGAAACCCAGCAGTGGGGCAGCTGTCTTGAGAAATTTTATGGGTAAGAGGAGATCCCCCCCTGCCTAACATAGACCACAGCTACTACTCAGGGCTATAAACCTGAGGTGAGCAGTGGCATCTCCGGAGAAACACTGGCCATACAGTGACCATAACCAAAAATCAGAGAAGGACTCCTTCAGGAAAAATCATCTTCCGGCCAAGGGGATACTCCCTACCTCAGGACTCCAGGAAGCACAGAAACTAACAGCCAAAACCTAAGTCAGCCCAATGGGTAGAGGTCAGCGTAAAGGCTCAACCAACAAAAGACAGAGCAATATGGCATCTCCAGAACCCAGCCATCCAGGGGCGAACAGCCCTGAACAATGCAGCATAATAGAAAATCAAGAAGAGGACCTTACATCTATGTTGATGAAGAGGATAATAGAGGAGACAAGTAAAATACGTAAAGAATTAGAGGAAGATAAAACCAAACAGATCATGGCTATCCGTAAAGAAATGGAGGAAGATAAAGACAAGCAAATTAGGGCCATCCGTGAAGAAATACGGGAAGATGCAGCCAAACAGCTTGTGGCCTTCAGAGAAGAAATAATTAAATCACTGAAAGAAATCAAAGAGACAGAGTTGAAGGAACTAAAAGAAAAAGAGGAAAATACAAGCAGACAGGTGAAGGAAGTAAACAAAACAACTCAAGACCTGAAGATAGAACTAGAAAAATTAAAGAAAACACAAATGGAGGAAATAATGGAGAGGAAGAATTTAGGGAAGAAAACAGGAACTACAGAGGTAAGCATAACCAACAGAATACAAGAAATGGAAGAAAGAATCTCAGGTGTAGAAGATACAATGGAAGAAATCGATGTATCTGTCAAAGAAAATGTGAAATCCAAAAAATTCCTGACACAGACCGTCCAAGAAATCCAAGACAATATGAAAAGACAAAATTTGAGAATAATAGGAATAGAGGAAAAAGAAGACTCCCTTCTCCAAGGCCCAGAAAATATTTTCAACAAAATCATTGAAGAAAATTTTCCCAAGTTAAAGGAGAAGCCAATAAGGATACATGAGGCCTACAGAACACCCAACAAATTTGACCAGAAAAGAAAATCCTCCCGCCACATAATAATCAAAACAGTAAGTATACAGAACAAAGAAAAAATACTAAAAGCTGCAAGGGAAAAAGGCCAAGTAACATATAATGGCAAACCCATTAGAATCACACCTGACTTTTCAACAGAAACTATGAAAGCCAGAAGGGCCTGGACAGATATCATGCAGACCCTAAGAGAACACAGATGTCAGCCCAGGCTACTATACCCTGCAAAACTCTCAGTCCTCATAGACAGAGAAAACAAGATATTCAATGACAAAAACAAATTTCAACAATACCTACACACAAATCCAGCATTACAGAAGACACTGGAAGGGAAAATACAACCCAAGAAAATTAGCTTCTGTCAAGAAAACACAGGAAATAATTAACCTTACTACAGCAAAACAAAAAGCAACCAAGCACACAAACTTATGAACACAGCCAACATCAAAATCAAAGGATCTAACAGCCACTGGTCATTAATCTCTCTCAACATCAATGGACTCAACTCTCCAGTAAAAAGACACAGATTAACAGAATGGATACGTAAACAAAACCCAGCAATCTGTTGCATACAAGAAACACACCTAAGACACAAAGATAGACATTACCTGAGGGTAAAAGGTTGGAAGATGACTTTCCAAGCAAATGGACCCAAGAAACAAGCAGGAGTAGCCATTCTAATATCTGATAAAATAGACTTTCAACCAAAAATAATAAAAAGAGATGAGGAAGGACACTTCATACTCATCAAGGGAAAATTCCACCAGGAAGACATCACAATCCTGAACATCTATGCCCCAAATACAAGAGCACCCACATTTGTAAAAGAAACATTGATAAAATTTAAACCACATATAGATCCCCACACATTAATAGTGGGAGACTTTAACATCCCACTCTCAACAAAGGACAGGTCAACAAAACAGAAATTAAACAAAGAAACAATATCTCTGACAGAGGTCATGAATCAAATGGACCTCACAGACATCTACAGAACTTTACACCCAAACACAAAAGAATTTACCTTCTTCTCAGCACCTCATGGAACCTTCTCCAAAATAGACCATATAGTTGGTCACAAAGCAAGCCTCAACAGATACAAGAAGACTGAAATAATCCCTTGTATCCTGTCTGATCACCATGGAATAAAGCTGGACTTCAACAACAACAGAAATAGCAAAAAGCCTACACACTCATGGAAACTGAACAACTTGTTACTAAATGACAGCTGGGTCAGGGAAGAAATAAAGAAAGAAATTAAAGCCTTTCTAGAACTCAATGAAAATGAAGACACAACATACCCTAACTTGTGGGACACAATGAAAGCAGTGCTAAGAGGAAAGTTCATAGCACTAAGTGCCTTCAAGAAGAAATTCGAGACAGCTCATTCAAGCAACTTAATGGCCCACTTAAAAACCCTAGAAAAAGAAGAAGCAGACACACCAAAAAGGAGTAGACGGCTGGAAATAATCAAACTCAGGGCTGAAATCAATCAATTAGAAACAAATAAAACAATTCAAAGAATCAATGAAACCAAGAGCTGGTTCTTTGAGAAAATCAACAAGATAGACAAACCCTTAGCCAAGCTAACTAAAAGGCAGAGAGACACCACCCAAATCAACAAAATCAGAAATGAAAAGGGGGACATAACTACAGACACTGAGGAAATCCAAACAATCATTAGGACTTACTTCAAAAGTCTATATGCCACAAAATTTGAAAATCTAAATGAAATGGACAATTTTCTTGATCGATTTGACTCACCAAAGCTGAATCAGGACCAGGTAAATCAACTAAATAGTCCTATATCCCCCAAAGAAATAGAAGCAGTCATCAAAAGTCTCCCATCCAAAAAAAGCCCAGGACCAGATGGCTTCAGTGCAGAATTCTACCAGACCTTCAAAGAAGAGCTAACTCCAATTCTCTTCAAACTATTCCACAAAATAGAAACAGAAGGAACATTACCAAACTCATTCTATGAAGCCACAATCACCTTGGTACCTAAACCTCACAAAGACTCAACAAAGAAAGAGAATTTCAGGCCAATCTCCCTTATGAACATTGATGCAAAAATACTTAACAAAATACTTGCAAACCGGATCCAAGAACACATCAAAGATATTATCCACTATGACCAAGTAGGCTTCATCCCAGGTATGCAGGGGTGGTTCAATATACGGAAATCCATCAATGTGATCCACCATATTAACAAACTGAAAGAAAAAAACCACATGATAATCTCCCTAGATGCTGAAAAAGCATTTGACAAAATCCAACATCCATTCATGTTTAAAGTACTGGAGAGTTCAGGGATACAAGGCACATATCTAAACATAGTAAAGGCGATATACAGCAAGCCTATAGCCAACATCAAACTGAACGGAGAGAAACTTAAAGCAATCCCACTGAAATCAGGGACAAGACAAGGCTGCCCACTGTCTCCATATCTCTTCAACATAGTGCTGGAAGTCCTTGCTAGAGCAATAAGACAGTCGAAGGAGATCAAGGGGATACAGATGGGAAAGGAAGAAGTCAAATTATCACTATTTGCAGATGATATGATAGTATATATGAGTGACCCCAAAAACTCTACCAGGGAACTCCTACAGCTGATAAACACCTTCAGCAAAGTGGCCGGATATAAAATTAACTCAAAAAAATCAGTAGCACTCCTGTATACAAAAGACAAAAGGGCTGAGAAAGAAATTAGAGAAACAACACCATTCACAATAGCCACAAATGACATAAAGTACCTTGGCGTAACCCTAACCAAGGAAGTCAAAGACTTGTATGAAAAAAATTTCAAGTCTCTGAAGAAAGAATTAGAGGAAGATATGAGAAGATGGAAAGATCTCCCATGCTCATGGCTTGGCAGGATTAACATAGTAAAAATGGCCATCTTACCAAAAGCAATCTACAGATTTAATGCAATTCCCATCAAATTGCCAACACAATTCTTTACAGACCTGGAAAGAAAAATTCTCAACTTTGTATGGAATAACAAGAAACCGAGAATTGCTAAAACAATCCTCTACAATAAAAGATCTTCTGGAGGTATCTCCATCCCTGATCTCAAGCTGTACTATAGAGCAACAGTTATAAAAACTGCATGGTACTGGCATAGAAACAGAATGGTGGATCAATGGAATCGAACAGAAGACCCAGAAATAAACCCACACACTTACGGACACCTGATTTTTGACAAAGATGCCAAAACCATACAATGGAAAAATGATAGCATCTTCAACAAATGG